GGGCGGTATACAAATTTAAAAATAAATAAATAAATAAATAAATAAATAAATAAATAAATAAATAAATATAGATAGATAGATAGATAGATAGATATACAGTACCGAATACTAGGTTATTAAAGTACTGTTTATAGCTATGCTTGCTTTTTTGTTTTTTTGTTTGTTTGTTTGTTGCTGTTGTGTTCTCTTGTTTGTTATTTATATGATGTGTTGTTCTTCTTTTGTTTTTAATGGAAAATGTAAATAAAGATTATTTTTTTTTAAAAAAAAACTAATACATAAATAGTTTTAGATTATTAGAAGAAAACGAACGATCTGAACTACCTGGCGGGGGGTTTAGCGGCGCCTGATTTCACAGTTTCTCCTTAACCTCTCCTTCCCACGCCCGTACATCGTTTACATGCTGCACGATATCGACATCATGGAAGACTGGACGGCTATCAAAAAGGTCAGAGGGCAGCCCTGTGATGTGACTCTAGAACCTGGGGTGGGCAATTCATTTTCCCTAAGTGGCCGCAGGAGGACCTGGGCAGTGAAGTTATGATCAGAGGTGGGCTTCAAAAATTTTAGCAAGGGGTTTTCTGCCTAGTTGCTGGGTGGGCGTGGCCTGGTTGGCCTGCACCATGGTGGGGGCGGGGCGTTTTTTGCCCCGCCCCCGGCCAGACTTTTCATTCATGGTTGCCTTATTCTCTTGCCCCCCAGGCAAAAGCTGCTGTATCTCCCTCAAAGAGGAAGCTTGAAGGCAAGTAACTTGATTTTCTTTGCAAATTGGGATCTCCCTCTGGTATTTCCATAAAAATTTGGACTGGTACCCCATGCTTGAAGGGCTGGTTCAAAAGCAAGCAGGAACCACCTACCTGCACCTTGGCCGCAGAGCGAGAGAAATAGTGCATCCAATTGATGCTGAACTATAAGTCCCAGAACTCCTTGCAAAGCCAGCCACGGAGGTAGAATTGTAAGGCAAGCAATGTGGGTTTGAAAAAGTGTGGGTGTGTATCCTTAGTTAGGAATATTTTTTTTAAAAAATCAGGGTTTGTCGAGCTGGCCCAAAAGGGCCAGATTTGTGATTAATTCTACGCTATAATAGTTAGGTCTGTGCGTTATTCTAAGCCACTGTTTCTCAACCTTGTGCACTTTAAGATAAGTGGATTTCAACTCCCAGAATTCCCCAGCCATCATGATTTAAAGTGAAATCCACTTTAAGATAAGTGGGTTTCAACTCCCAGAATTCCCCAGCCAGCATCCTTTAAGATGGGTGGACTTCAACTCCCAGAATTCCCCAGTCAGCATGATTTAAAATGAAATCCACTTTTAAGCTAACTCCCAGAATTCCCTAGCCAAGCATGATTTAAAGTGAAATCCACTTTTAAGATAAGTGGACTTTAACTCCCCGAATTCCCCAGCCAAGCATGATTTAAGTTAAGTGGACTTCAACTCCCAGAATTCCCTAGCCAAGCATAATTTAAAGTGAAATCCACTTTTAAGATAAGTGGACTTCAACTCCCAGAATTCCCTAGCCAAGCATGATTTATAGTGAAATCCACTTTTAAGATAAGTGGACTTTAACTCCCAGAATTCCCCAGCCAAGCATGATTTATAGTGAAATCCACTTTTAAGATAAGTGGATTTCAACTCCCAAAATTCCCCAGCCAGCATGCTTTAAGATAAGTGGCCTTCAATTCACTTGAATTCTAACTCTAACTTCTAATCTTTATCGTACGGTTATTTTAACAGAATCTTGCAAATCTCAAAGCGCATTTCTCCACCTACCCCCCACCTCGCCTTTACAGCCCAAGAAACTAGGGAGGGTGGTCCCTTTGTAGATGTCTGTCGTCCGTCCGTCCACCCACCCAGCAATTCTTTCCAAGGACTTCCCTGCCTCTTACTCAACCCCGTGGCTATTCCCCTGACTCCCAAGGTCATTCCGACAGACCATGACGTCCCTTCTCCTACCCCGAAGAGTCCTTAGCCCCCGCTTCCCCCCCCTCCTGTCCTTCCTCCAGGCCCGCTGAAGGCTGAGAAGCTGTCTTCCCCGCCCCTCTTCGCCGCCCACTGTGAGGATGGCCACCTGCATTACGAGGGCGAGATCTATGTCAAAGGGGAAAGCATCTTCCTGCAAGTGGGAGACGAGACGCCCGTCCAGTGAGTGGCAAGGAGCGGGTGGCAACCGTGGGGAGATCAGCCGGCTTGGTCTGGAGGAGTCCGTCCGGCCCTCTACTCCCATCTCCCTCCCTCCCTCCTTCCTTTTCTCCCTCCACCTTCCTTCTTTCCTTCCCTCCCTCCCTCCCTTTCATTCCCATCTCCTTCCTTCCCTCCCTCCCTCCACCTTCCCTTTCTTCCTCCCTCCCTTTCATTCCATTCCTTCCTTCCTTCCTTCCCTCCCTCCCTCCTTTTCATTCCCATCTCCTTCCTTCCTTTCTCCCTCCCTCCACCTTCCCTCAGTAAATGAATGCTTTGAATTTTGAACTTTTCATCTTCACTCTGAATAATTGGACCTAACTTTGGGATTTAATTGTATTATGTGTACAGATATTTGTAATTCCTATAATTATGTAAGTTTCGTTATGTTCATTTAAAATGAATGTTGAGATGGTTTTCTTGTTTGCTATTTATCATGTAATTTTCATTGGCACTTATGCAACAATTATGATGATATAATATACTTTATTGATTAGTCAATTGACCATATCAGACATGAGCATCAGTCACAGTAAAATACAATATTGTGATAATTTATTCCGTTGACAGTTGCAAAACAAAATGGCAGCTCAGAGCTGAAACTCCGAGGCTAGGAGGGAGATGTTTTGACATTTTCAAAAGTGTGGGGGTCAATTAACCATCCACAGACCCCCCTCCCAGCAAGCTGAGGTATTTTCGGCTCAATAGAGCTGTGGATGGAGCCCAAGGATAAAACCCGAGCCGAGCCTGAAGATCAGCTGTTTGTCAGTAAAAAGACTGAGGGTGGTGGGGAGGATGTCAACATCAAAACCTGGCTGTCATGACCGGGTCAACCACTGAGTCTAATACAGCTGATGAAATGGTTGGCGAGACGGTGGCAACAGCGACTCCAGATAGAGTGTTGATAATGATGCCTGGGCTAATAGGCGCTGCATGTAGCAACATGGCGGCGATGATGTCTATGGCAAGGGGGGTTACCACAATGGCGAAGGGAATGGCGCTAATGGCAGCAATGGCAACGGCAACACCAGGAGGCTGCAAGGAAGCCCTCGTTGTTAATAGAGGAGAGGGCAATGCTGCAAAGGCTATAAATGTTAGGATCCCCTCAACCTCTAGGGATCTGTTGCACTCCTCTTTCTTGAAACTCTGAGGACTTATTAAACTAATTGAACTAAGTAGCCTGAGCAAGGTGATGGATAGGGACTGAGGATTACAAATTGGAGATGATGACTTACTCTCCCCTCAACTGTCCCTCTCTCCTTTATCAGATCTAGATCTATTACGACCACTCAGCGTTAACTTGCAATCTTAGATCGATCTGCAGCTTTATTTACCACCTATTCCCCCAAGATTACCCTGATTATTTAACCCTAAATACTTTGTCCAGTGGCTCTGCCTTACTTTTTTGATCTAATCCTCGGCCATCGCTGGTATCAGGACTGGAGGAGATACAGACATCGAGAGTCTTGGATTATGGGGAGATAGAGCACCTTCTCTTTGTTTGTTTCAAATGGTTTGGTCGCTGTGAGAGGACGACCCTTTGAGACCTCTACCCCCACCTCCTTTAGATGGACTTACTACAACCACAAGACTTCCATCGTCGTGAGAGGGCGATGATGTTCCGATGTATTGACATTTGTAACTTACTGGTCTCCCCTTTACATCTATTTCCTCCCTTATTTTAAATTGCCTGTCTTAACCATCTCTAACACTCTTAGAAGAAAATGATCCTTCATCTCCTTCAACTCGCTCCTATCTTTGATGTATTCAACTGTGGAGCTCCTTGCACTGCGAGATTCCCCTCTCTCACATGTCTGGCCCTTTCAGTTATCAAGGGCCGCCCTTGAGGACGGGTTTTGGAATCCTGAGAGGTGGTTTGCAAAAAACCGACGGCTTTGGGGTTTTTTAGATAAATCTTTTAAGTTCTATTTTAAGGGTTCTGGGAGGGATTGTGGGAATGGATCTGGGGGGATCCATAAATCCACTGAAAGGGGTAATGGGTCTGATGATCATGGTGGGGAGGATGGGGACAAATCTGACAAGGATGCAGGGGGATGAAGCGATGGGCATTAGTATAGTAAGTGGGAGGGGCAGATATGACGGCTGCAGGGGGCCATATTATGTTTCAGGAGTGCGCACTCGATGTTTACGAGCGATTGCCCACTCCGACCCCCAAAGCACTGCTCGTTTCCCAGGTTGTTCAGAGTCTCAGACCCTGGGTCTACAGCTGATGTTATGTAATGCCAGGTCAGTGGTAAATAAAGCCCCCCTCATTCATGATCTTATTTCAGAGGGGGGTGCTGACCTGGCAGGGATTACGGAGACCTGGTTAGGCCAGGCAGTGCTCATCTCCGTTTCAAAGCTGAAGAGCCAGCGCTGTCCGAAGACGTCTCCGTGGTCATGTGGCCGGCATGACTCAACGCCAAAGGCGCACGGAAAACGCTGTTCCCTTCCCACCAAAGGTGGTCCCTATTTTTCTACTTGCATTTTTTACCTGCTTTCGAACTGCTAGGTTGGCAGAAGCTGGGAAAAGTCACGGGAGCTCACCCCGTTACGCGGCACTCGGGATTCGAACCGCTGAACTGCCGACCTTTCTGATCGACAAGCTCAGCGTCTTAGCCCCTGAGCCACCGCGTCCCTTAACTCTGAATCAGTTGCTAAAAGGACAAGTCGTTAAGTCGAGGAGTTCAACCCGGCGTTCTGCTCTTTGTCTCTCCAAATTGAGGGACAAGTTGCTAGTCCTCAGCATTCTCCGAGGAATGAGACTGCCCTCAGCTTGCTAAGGAGCTTTGTTACCTCCCTCTATGGCTGAGGTGAACCGCTCAAAAGTCTTGGGAGTGAATGAAACGTTGTAAAATGATATTTAATTCGTAGCGCCTCCGGCCAGCTCCTAACAACTTATTCGCCTGCCTTATGGGAAAAGTGCAAAGCTCTATCATTTGCCTTGCGCCAAAGCTTTGAATATCCTGCCAAGCCCCCTTCCCAGGACCCCTCCCCATATATACCTCTTGTGCAGATCTAACAGATCTTTGTCGGCAATCAGAACTTTTAACTCTTTCAGGCCCTGTAAAAATTCTTTATCCAAATCGACGTCCATATCGTCCACGTTGGTATCTGCCAGGACAGATTAAAAAGTGAGTCAATTATTGGTCCGTTTGTTTGTTTTTCTGCCTTTAGAAGGAACCCCAGGCGGTGAACGTAAGTGATGACGGATGTTCAGGAGGCTCAGAAGGGACCCTCCCTAGTTTCTCAGGCGGTAAAGGAGGCGGGGTGGAGAGAATCTAGATCTATGGAAAGAGTTCAGAGTGTGTGCAGGGATGTGTAAGTGGGGAAGACCTTGGGAGACAAGAGCGTGGAATGGTCAGATAAAAGACTACTCAGCCTTCAGCTGCATTACAGGCAGGAGTGAGATTCAGCCGGTTCAGGAGAATCGGTTGCTACTTTTACATCCGGTTCGCCGAACCGGTAGTTGCAAGGACTGGCTGGCCCCGCCCACCCCAACCCTCCCAGGAGTCTCCACGTGGCCCGTTTTGGATGCCAGGTAAGTGAAGGGTCCACGCGGAAGCTCTGGGAGGGCGAAAAACGGGTCTCCCGGAAGTTCGGAAACAGGCCTCCAGGTCTCTGGAGCCCGGGAGAGGCCGTTTTCACCCTCCCCGAGGCTCGAGGAAAGCCTCCGGAGCCTGGGTAAGGAAAAAACGCCCCCCCCCCCCCCCTGTGTTGCAGGAGGCTGAGTAGGCCACACCCACCCGGCAACTGGGCAGAGAACCGGTTGCTAAAATGTTTGAATCCCACCCCTGATTACAGATAGGGCAAATGCTGAGCAGGGACCCTCCCTAGTTTCTCCAATTGTTATTGGGGCGAGGGGGAAAGAATCGTATTTTCAGATTTGCACGATTCTGTTAATGGAGCTTTACAATAAAGCAGAATTACCGTATTTTTTGGACTATAGGACACACTTTTTTTGTCTCCCAAAAGGGGGTGAAAATATATGTGGGTCTTATAGACCGAATATTGCTGAAGCCTCGTCCACCCGCCAGCAGCTGTTTTTTTGCCTTTCGGGCCTTTTTTCTGGCCTGTTTTCAGACCTTTTTTCAGCCCATTTTCAAGGCTTTTTTTGGCCCGTTTTCGATGCTTTCTTTGGCCCATTTCCGGGGCTTCTTTGGCCCGTTTCTGAGGCTTTTTTCAGCCCGCTTTCGAGGCTTTTTAAATCCATTTTCGAGGCTTTTTTTAACTTGCTTTCAAGGCTTTTTTCGATCTGTTTTCAAGGCTTTTTTCGGGCTGTTTTTTCGGAAAAAACAGGCCAAAAAATTCTCAAAAAAAGGGCCAAAAAAGCTCTGAAAACGGGCAAAAAAACCAAAACAAAACAAAAGGCTGGAAAAGGGCCAAAAATGGGGCGCACAGAGGTCAAAAACTTTTTTTGTTTTGTTTTCCTCTTCTAAATGTAGGTGCGTCTTATAGTCCAAAAAATACGGTAGTTTATCTGGCCGTATTTCCTGTCTGGTAAAGCTGACGCAAGTTATGAAAAAAACTCCCTAAAATTAAAGAGAGAGATTGAGAATGGGGTCAGTGCTGCTCTTAAGATTACAGCAATCCATCGCTACGGGTGCAACAGAACCTGAATTCCCACTGGAGAAGGGCCTGGTCTCCTCCAGGATCCCTTCACCCCATACCCTGAAGGATCTGCCCTCTTACCCATCGCCCCCAGCGTCCAATTCTCGATCATTTGCTCAGCACAGTAGGCAAAATCCTCGAAGCTCAAATATTGCAATTTCTTCTTCCCGGTCTCAAAGCGGCTGTTGGCGAAGAACACGATGGCGGCATAGTCCCTGGGGGTGGGGTGGGGTGGGGGGGTGGAGAAGAGTTTGGGGGTTTAAGTCAGGCCAGCTTAACCACTAGGACTCCCGGGGGAGGGCCTTCTCTGTGAGGGCTCCAACCCTTTGGAATGAACTGCCCCCTGAGATACGAAATATCCCTGATCTCCGTGCTTTCTGCTGTGCCCTCAAGACCCTGATGTTCCAACAGGCGGGGCTAAACATATGAACATGTGAATGATTTTAAAATGTTATCTAATTTTGGGTCCTATTTAATTGGGCCAAACTATGTTATAATAATAATTTTAATTAGCAATTTTATGATGTTTGTGTATCTATATTCTTTCTTGACTGTACACCGCCTTGAGTCCTACGGGAGAAAGGCGGTATAGAAAATAAATAAATAAATAAATAAATAAATAAATAAATAAATAAATAAATAAATAAATAAATAAGACAGCTGGTCAGCAAGGATAAAGGGAAAGAGCCTTGACCTATCGGCCCAAAGTCTTGTGTTTTGCTGCAGGTCCATTGCGCGCAAAAAGCTGTATTTCTGCTTAAGAGACAAAATGGCTTCCTTCTCCAAGCTGCAATTTAGATGCAAAAAAAAAAAAGATTTCCCTATTCCAGAGGATAAAAAACAGGTTACTTCCTGGTTAAAACCAGGAAGTAACGACGTCCAGGCGGGGTTGGGGTTGGGGCGGAGCCTCGCGCTGCCGCCGCTACCAGTTCTCCGAACCAATGCGAACCGGTAGCATTTCACTCCTGGAGGGAGGAAGGGAGAATGTGTGAGAAGCAGAGATTTTCTGGTGGACTGGATGCCCAGAATCTGGGATTCATAGAATCGCAGGGCTGGAAGGGATCTTGGAGATCTTCTAGTCCCGTGATGGCGAACCTATGGCACGGGTGCCACAGGTGGCACGTGGCGCCATATTGGTGGGCACGCAAGCTCAGCTCCGGCAAGCATGCGTGCGCCGGCCGGTTGATTTTCAGGCCTTCTGGGCCCACCGGATGTCAGGAAACAGGCTGTTTCTAGCCTCCGGAGGGCCTCTAGGAAGGGTGGGGAAGGCTGTTTTTGCCCTTCCCAGGCTCCTAGAAAGGCTCTGGGAGCTCTGGAGCTCTGGAACCCTACTGGGCCCACGGTGCCATCACGTATCAAAAGCAGGGGGAGCATGAGGGGGGGCAGGGGGCATAGAATTATGGATGTGGGCACGCGTGCGTGTGTCCCCCCCGCCCGCTCCCCCTCCCGCTTTTGACACACAATGGCAAAAAGGTTAGCCATCACTGTTCTAGTCCAACACACACACACCCCGCCAAAGTAAGAGTCCTAATAACTCTACCTTGAGCACAATTACATCACCCGTGCTTATTTTCGTACCTGGCTAACCGATCGGAAAGCAAGAAATGCTGTTGAATGTTTTCCACTAACGACCCACGCAGTTCCTCCACGGCTTTGAAAACACGCTTGAAATTGTCAAACTGAAACGGAAGGGGGAAAAAAAAACCCACAACACTTTACGCCACCGTGGGAGACAAACCACGCTAGTCTGGGGTTGCAATAAATAAATAAATAAATAAATAAATCAGGAGTGGGCCTGCACCTGGTCCGATTAACCAATTTTATTTTGTTTGCATCCCACCCTTCTTACATGCGGAGCTGGCAGCAGAGTCGGACAGTGAGGAGGTGGGGGAGGAACGTGGGCCAGTCCTGCGGGCTGGGGAAAGCTCGGACGAGAGCTCTGCATCTGAGGCAGAGAGGGGGACAAGGCCATCTGATAGTTATGTGCAGCCTCCGGAGTCTGACATCAGCGAGGCAGAAGAGCAGCAGGAGCCTGTTCCCAGTGTGCGCATGCACAGAGCTGCCAGACGACAAAAACAATTAAGAAACAGGGTCGACTTGGGAGTAAGGCTTGGAGATGATTGGCCCCTCCCATAAAAGAAGAGCGAATGGGGCGTGAGCTTTTGCAGGAAGCAGTTAGTTCATCTGGCCGATTCCAGATTTGAAAATTCTGTTTGTGACTCTGTGCCAAGTTTGGCTTTGCCCTGCGTCTGGAAATTAGCTCTCTGGCAGCGTTCCACATAAGATAAGGTGGGTGTTGATAACCTTCCTCTGAAAGACTGTTTTATGCGGACTGTAAATGAAAGGAATTTACAGCCGTATGAATTAAAAGAGGTTTTGCAGGACTAAGATTGTGCTTTATACTTTCTAAGGAAGTCTAGGTCAGAACATTACAAAAAAAAAAGCCCTGTATTTACAAGATTCTGGATCATCAAGCATCTGGAAAACGTATTTGCCTTTCACGCCAGTCTGTTAAAAGTGTTACAGAAAGCAGAGAAAAAATTCCTACTTTTGGGAATTCAGCCGCCAACTTACCTGCCGGCGACAACTTTTAAGAGTCACGCCAGTTTTGGCACTGATATCATCCAGATCTTTCTTGGTTCCTTTTGATAGCTTTTTTCCCAGCACCTCACGGACGAAAGCAGCATTGAAGGCATAGTACCTGGGAAGGAATAAAAACATTGCTACAACAGGTAGTCCTCGACTTCCAACAGTTTGTTTAGTGACCGTTCAAAAGTTACGACGGCACTGAAAAAAAGCAGTTTATGAGTTTTTCACACTTCTGTTCTGTTCTGTTCTGTTCTGTTCTGTTCTGTTCTGTTCTATTCTATTCTATTCTATTCTATTCTATTCTATTATTCTATTCCATTCCATTCCATTCCATTCCTTATTCTTCTCTTCTCTTCTCTTCTATTCCATTCCTTACTAGTCTATTCTATTCTATTCCATATTTTCTATTCTATTCTATTCTATTCTATTCTATTCTATTCTATTCTATTCTATTCTATTCTATTCTATTCTATTC